TTTTATTTATGTGTCAGAGAGAGAGAGCGTGCACACACACAAGCAGGGGGAGCGATGCAGGACTTGTTCCCAGGACCCTGGGATCATGACCTGAGCTGAAGGCAGACGCTTAACCGACTGAGCCACCCAGGAGTCCCTAGAACCTAACCTTAATGAACTTATCCTTATGCACTGGAATATTTATAAGCAAGAGAATTATATAATGTTTATGTTGAAAAAGATCAGATCATTCTGCTGCAGAATGGAAGATATTTGGAAGGAAAAGGATATTTTGGGAGGTTACACCAGGTAACCTACACTACTTGGTAATCCCCACACCTAAATAGAGGCAGCAGGCATAGGAATAGAGATCAGGGAGACAGATTTGATACGTGTTAAAGAGAGGACTAGTATAGCAGGTGAGGAATAGAATTGTTGAGATAATTCCCAGGAGCTTGAATATGAGGAGAAGAGCTGGTTTCAAGAAAATGGTTAGGCATTAGATATTTTTGAGCGTGAGGGGGTCTGTGAGACCTGTCCATAGAAACATCCATTAGAAAGTTGGATCCACCAGGAGCTAGGAGCTCAGAGGAGTTGCAGGTGAGGCCATGGGAGTGATGCAGCATGCCAGGCACAGAATTGATGAGGCCCTGAGGAAAGGGCATTTAAAGGGTAAATGGATGGGGGGGGCACCTGGGTGGCTCAGTTGGTTAAGCGACTGCCTTCGGCTCAGGTCATGATCTTGGAGTCCCGGGACCAAGACAGCATGGGGTTCCTGCTGAGCGGGGAGTCTGCTTCTCCCTCTGACCCTCCTCTCTCTCATGCTGTCTCTCATTCTCTCTCTCTCAAATAAATAAAATCTTAAAAAAAAAATGGTAAATGGGGAAAGAGATCCATGAAGAGAAGGAAGAATAGCAGAACAGTTGGAAGAAATGTAGCAGAGGGTTGTGTCTACATAGAATCTGAGAGGGTGATAACGTTGCTTAAGAGGGATTTGAACACTGACTAAAAGGAGCATGATGCAAAATATGCAGGCAGGGTGAGGAAGCAAGAGCCCAAGCCCACACTTCATTGCTGGACAGTGAGGAAAGGTAGAAGCCGCACTCCATAGCTAGGAAGCATTTAAAAAGATTTGTGTGCACATGCACAGGTGTGTACACACACACACACACATACACAACCCTACCTTGGCCTTTTAAAATATTTCAGTAAAACAAAAATCAAGGGGGAAAAGCATTCCATTGAGAGGGAAACGTTTGGCCATATCAAAAGCAGCCTAGTAATCCAGCAAATAAGGACCGAAAATGTATGCTGGTTTAGGAATAGGCAGTCACCACAAAGTGAGCACCTTGAAGGCTGAGGCAGGAGGTGGGGCTCGGAGGAAGGAAGGAGTGGTTGAAAAATAGTTTAGCTACTTCTTCAAAAACTTGACTGTGAAGTGAAGAAAGCAGAGTGTTAGCAATACAGGGTCATGAAAACATTTTAGGCAAGGATTATTTGTGTTTTTACAGTGTGTGTTTCTTGCCTTGCAGAATCCATAGGTCTTTTTTGTTATTGTTCTTCATTTCAAAAGTTTAGAAAGTTCTTCTCCCTTGAACATCAAAACAGATTGTATACCATGTTGGTTTTTCTGGTGCATTATTTCTACAATTGATCCATCTGTAATTTATTTTGGTGTCAGAAGTGAGGACTCCATACCGGTCTTTCCAGTGATGTGCTAATTGCTCTAATACTGAATCCACTGATTTTAAGTATCTCTTTTTATAATATAGTAAAATCCCATTCATACAATGAATGCTCTAGCTCTAGACTTTTTGAGTTGCCATTGCGTAATAATATACATTAGCTTCTCTTAGAACTGGCCCATCTTAGCCTTTTTCAGAATGTCTCTCATACTGTCAGTTCAAGCATCCATCTTTGTTATTTTACCTGTGTAGTTGTGTAGATTTCTTGAAAAACTTTAGCATCACTTTTCAGCGTTAAAAAAAAATCTATTGGGGATTATTAACTAAATTTGCATTAGAATTCGAAATTCTGTTTTGGAGAAAAAAATTGATAAGTCCCCCAAATTGAGTCAGCCCAATTAAGAGTATGGTACATCCTACCACCCATTCATTTTTCATTATTTGTTTTTATTTTTTAAGTCCGTTATCATATCAGTGTTAACATTTCTCACTAATTTATTCCTAAATAGTCTGAACTTTTATTGTTATTTTAAATGGCATCTTTTCTGTTTGGGATATTTAACTGGGTTAATTGCCAGTATAGTCCTAATTTCTGGCTTCTCTTGAATAACGAGGAGATCTGGCAACACTGGACCCTCATTCCAATGTGGCAACTGTGAGTAGTCCCTTTCATTAGGCTACGCACTTGCCAGTATACCACAGTTGACTGCACCCCCTCCACACATTTCTGTTCTTGCCTGGCCCCTGCAGGCGGATGAGTTCCTGTAGGGGTAGGTGGTGCATACCCATAGTCAGCAGCATAGCACCAAGCACTGGTGTCAGTGTCTATGACATCACCAGCTCTGGTCCTTGCCTGTCTTCCCTGAAGACGATGGCTCCTGCCTGGCCTGTGGACCTGCCAGATCTTTCCAGCCCTCTCTCTTCTTCTACAACACACCCTGGCCTCTCAGACCAGAAGCGCATGCAATTCCTTCTACCTACATACCCCTCCATAGTCTTGCCCTTCCTGGCCAGATTGGTCCCTGCCCCTTTTCTGAGCTATAGGCATAAAGGGGCTGTAAAGCTTCCTTTTATTCACAGCCTTAGTTCCCTATCAGTACTAATTTACTTGAAAGGTTTCTTTCAGATCTCTGGCCATCTCATTTCTAACCTTTACCCCCACTATGGTACAGCTTGCCCCAAATCTCTGATGTCCCATCTATAGTGATGCCATATAAATTACAGATGAGGAAGAAAAGAACTTATAAGCCATCACTTGAATTTTTACTTACTGTGACCACATAGACTGCAACAACTTCAAGATAAAAATTCCTAAAGAAGTATATTTTGCCTTATTAGGCCACTTTCATCACATACATTTCTGTGATTCAGATTCTCTGAATGCACTGCATTGCATTTGCAGACTCAGGGGAGCTTGCTCATTTGCCTGTTTCCAGCATATTTCCTCTAACATTCTCTAAATATAGCCTTCCCAAAAGTCCATTTCTTATTTCTTTTTAACTTGTTAGATGCTTCCACAATATTCCTGTTCTTTTTTTTTTTAACCCTAAATCACGAATCATCTTCCAACATTCTATTATTTCAACAGAGAATGAATAATACAAAGTGCCCCAACTTTACTGCCAGCAAATAACTTTAGTTGATTAAAGATTTTAAATATATTATTCCTACTAAGTGTGTACATATGAAAGAAACCAGCTATAACTAGTCTTCTTTCCAGAGACTTCACATTTGTCTTCTGTTTGGGTTCTTTCACTGTTGAACATTGTTACTGCCATGGGTGTCTTTTCTCTTTGGGATTTAGTTTGTTGTTTGCCTTTTTCTTTATAAGAGTAAAGGAAAATATGTTGTCCTTCCATCCACCCACCACTCCATGATGCGTGTCCATTCCATTGACAGTTATTCAGTTTGGGTTCGTCACCTTATTTGTGGCCTCTTTTCCACTGGCCCCTCTGTTGGCTCTGGTGAACAATATATTGGAAATAAGAGTGGACGCATGGAAAATGACTACCCAGTATAGACGCATGGTTCCAGAAAAAGCCCAAGACATCGGAGCATGGCAGCCCATCATGCAAGGAATAGCAATTCTGGCTGTGGTGACCAATGTGAGTAAACCTAGGCTTCACAGGGGAAAGACCTTGAAAAACCCAAAAATGCATTAGTTTTGCTACCTAAAGAATCAAATGTTAGCTATTTTTTTTTTAAATGGGAGGGAGATGCCAATACTATTTTTCATATAAAAACAGTTGTAACTGTGATTGTTATTTTTTTAATGTTCTTAAGTGTTTATATTATTATTCACAACTTACAAAGTCAAGACCTCTTATGGGAGCAGTTGCTAATAGTGACCATTATACTATTATTCATCTGCTAAAGTTCTTATTCAATAGAAACATGGTAATAGTAATAACAGTAAGTACCAACTCTCTTAATCCTCACAGGACTATAAAAGGAGTTATCCAGTAGTGCTTTTATAACAGAGATAGAAATCTGTCCACTTATATTTGGAGGACCCTAAAATAAGAACTATCATTCTACCATATTTTACCATATATTCCAAACTATCAACTTAAAATATGAACTATTTGATGATGAAGTACATATAAGCACTTTGCGTTCCATTCATGTGTTACCTTCCTTGTCTCCTAGGGCAGAGGTTCTTCAAGGAGGGGGGCTTTAGGGTGGGTTCCATCTCTCTTCTCCACCCCACCCCTTGGCCTTTGCTAGCCACTCACTGGTCATTAGCTAAGCAGCCTCAGACCCTGCATGTGTACCAGCTTGAGGGAACAGAACACAGTCCTTTGCAACCTGTATAGACTTTGGACCAATCTGAACAGTTACCTCCCCCTTCCTCCCTCCCCCTCTCTCCCTCCCTCTCCCTCTTTATAAACACAGGCCAACAAGGAGCTCTCAGGGAGAATAAGTTCCATACCAGCCCAGTAGGGGAATGACCACCTTCCCTAGAAATATCCTTACAACTAGGGCTGTTTCCTCGCTTATTTCACTGCCCATTTTACTCTCAGGTCACAATCCTCAACACGATGATATCCCAGTTTTAATTTCTTTGTCAAGCTACACTTTCCCTGAATCCGCAGCCTTTTTCCATGAGCACTTGTGGAAACAGAAGAGAATTCAGCAGTGCCTGTGGGTCAGGCTCCTGGTCAGGCTCCTCGTCCGGCTCGGCACTGCAGACACAGGTCAGACCCAAGGTCCAGCTCTCAGTGCTGCAGCTTCCAAGCTACATGACCTTGGGCCAGGCCTTAACACTTCAGAGCTTCAGTTTATCATTTGTAAATTGAATAGTTCCTTACCGTATATTTTAAGAATATTACATACCATAAAGGGTAGCCAGGGACTTCAGGGAGTTAATACATGGAATGCACAGAGCCTGGTCCTCATGCACTGTTAGCTGCTGCTGTGTTATCTTCATCACCCATCAGACTTTGACAGGTATCTAAACTAAAGGCACAAGAATTTTATGATGTGTCACTGAGCCGTGGTTACAGTTTTACACAATAAAGCCAATTATCTGGAACCCAACTGTCAGACCAAGAACCCTTAATTTATCTGAATTGTATGCTATCCCTACTTTTTGGAGAAAGTTGCAAATTGCACACAAAGGACAACTGCTAGCTTATATCATTTTCCATTCACCCAAGTAGCCCACACCTTCAACATCCCCTGTGCTACGGAATGAAGACTGACGTGCAGAAATAGGACAGTGAGGCCTTTCAGGTTCTGCAATCATAAAAGAATGAATCTGTCACATTCAATATGCTGTACAACCCCAAGCAAGGCAGGAACGTGGACTTGTGTGCTTTAGGAACATTTGAGCAACAAGGTTTGAAACTAAAAGGGTTTTTGTTTGACCTTCAGCTAACCAGAAAATTCAGAGGACTCCTACTCCCCATTCCTCAGCACTCTGGTTTGAATGTGGTAGGCACCTTCTACTATCCCCTGCATGGCTCCACTCCATTGGCACAAAGGGGGTATTGGCCACGTCTCTAAGGCTACTCTGGGGGGTGTGGGTGTGTACACAGGCACATGCATGCCTGCTAACTAACTGGTGCTACTGGTTCTTATCCAGTAGTTTTTTCTTCTAACTTAGGCGTCGTTTTATTATACCCTAGGAAAACTACTTTTTAGATCATTGATTGAACTACGGACAATCTTTTTTTCCATATTATTAGGATTTAATACAGCTTCCAAGCTGCAGATCCTGTGCATGTTTGTGTACATGTCTGTAAGAATGAAACGTGTATATCATTCCCTCACATACCTAATATATGCCTCTACCATCTACTGGGCACAAAAAGGGCTAACCTTCCATAATAGGAGAACTTTCAACTATGGGAAGAAAAGAATAGCCACCAGGGATGAAAATGGACATCAAGCAAGAGTTTGGTATGAAATCATTCATCTTAAAGCTGCTGGTGCAATACATGAGCTGAGTTGACATGGTTGTCTCAGGCCACAGTATCTGCCGTTGAAGACTGATTTTAATTTGATATAAATTGAAAATTGTGTTCAGAACAGCATAGGAAGCAAAGCACACCGCATTTACTTGCACTCTTGCAGTGCATCTCAAAGCAGCTCAATTCGGGAGGAATAAATATCTTGTCAGAAGACAAGAGAATTCTCTTCCTTGTTGGAATTTTTATAGCTTCCTGGAGCACATCTGCAGGTGATTCTGTAAAAAGCCATAGTTAAATAACAGGAAATGTTAAACTACTGAAATCTGGGAAAAGTAAAATATTCTTGTCTTATATCCCCCCCCACCAACAGGCAAACACACACACACACACACACACACACACACACTCACTTCAGAGGAAATGACAAAGCTGGTTCTACTAAGGGGAGTAATTTTGCAGTAGAAAAGCCCCCTTAGTTGTTTTTCTTGCTCTGCCTGAGATCTTGTTTGTTGGCTTATGGTCACACTGCATCTAAACCATATGTTCAGATGAATACTATTAAAAATCATGTTGTGCCAAAAACATGCCTTTCTGCTTCAATAAATGAATCATTTAGCTTTGTTTATTCGCAGAGAATTTGGGTGAAAGTATATTCCTTACTTTCTCCCTCTTTCAAACCAATTTCATATATTGGGGAGTTTAAAACCCAAATTAAAGAATTTTAGAGAAAATTCATGTAATTCATAATAGCTTTATGTACTGATAGAGGTCTGACACAGACCCAGGTTAAAAGTTAATCTCAATTTATCCCTTTAATCTGGGATCACACTAAAATCTGTTATTTGATCATGTATAATGTTCAGAACTTTGTTCAGTTAGTCTTTTTGAAGTTTAGAGGCTTAGACACTAGATCTAACAAAATAGGCATACACTTGACTGTGTGAATGCAGCAACCCCCATATAGTTTCTTGCTGCCTACATTTTAAAATTAATAAATTCTTGCTTTCTAATGAAGGAACATATGCAAGTATATACTGAGAGCTTAAAGTCAGACAGACTATGAGTTGACATGTATAAGTAAGTCAGGATACTCTAGGGAAAAGAAGTATGAATTTGAAGGCTACTATTAGACTAAGGAAAATCTATTTTATGCTATTTATATTCTATTTTTAAGAGGCAAGTATTTCAAAATCAGTTTTATATCTATTGGAAACTCTACAAAGGAATTATAAAAGGCCAAATTATTTTCATAATATTGACCCTAATATTACTTATGCAAAAGGGCCTTCTAAATCATAAAAGAAAGATTAAAATTATATCAAGTAGGGCACCTGGGTGGCTCAGTCATTAAGCATCTGCCTTCAGCTCAGGTCATGATCCCAGGATTCTGGGATCGAGCCCCGCATGGGGCTCCCTGCTCCGCGGGAAACTTGCTTCTCCCTCTCCCACTGCCCCTGCTTGTGTTCCCTCTCTTGCTCTCTGTCAAATCAATAAATTATATCAAGTAGATTTACAAGGTTGATTGAGTTGTATAATATTCTAATTTTTGAAAATCTAATTTATATAACAATATATGCAAGCAACTTGAGTTAATCCAGGATACCCTGGTCTACAATTATTCTTACTGTACCTAAGAAACATAATAGGCAACTTGCAAGCCTTTGCTTTTCAACTGCAGATGGACTTCTGGACAGCCCTTAGGTGAACTGAAGATCAAGAGGAAGTAACTATTCTTTAAAGCAGCTGCTCAAAGACTTTAGGACATTCACTATCTATATCTATTTGACAGTTAGAAAGGATTAAATGTTTCTGAATCTTTCATTAAAAAAAAAATCAACTGATGAACACATAATTCTGGTGTGTTTGTTAACCATAGCTATAAAGGCTTAAATTAATGCCCCCTTCCTGTTTTCCTCCCCATATAGGCCATGATCATTGCTTTCACGTCAGACATGATCCCCCGCCTGGTGTATTACTGGTCCTTCTCCGTCCCTCCCTATGGGAACCACACCCATTACACCATGGAAGGATACATCAACAGTACTCTCTCCATTTTCAAGGTCTCAGACTTCAAAAATCAAAGCAAGGGAAATCCAGACCCTAAGGTTGTTATCCCTACCACATGCAGGCAAGTTCCGCTTACATGTTTGAAAATGCATTTCATCTTTTAAAGGACTTTTATTGTCATGTAATTCTAAATAAAATTGCTGGAGACATTTTTTCTTCCCCTAGGTTTCTTTTTAGCCAAACTTAATACAGACTGGGGTCAGAATTTACAAATCAAACCATAAAGCATGATTTAAAGATGGGGGTTTCAAATGATTGCAGGGAGACTGATCCAGGAGAAAAGTCTTGTTTGTATCTTAGAAATGAAGAAACTCAAGGAGTTCCAAAAAAACAAGTTAATTCAGTTGTAATGACTAATCTTTTAATTCGAGCACAACCTGATGTACTGAGTGACAGTAAAGTAGCACTCCCTCTCCAAGAAATACAAAGATGAGAAATGTAAAGACCTCAGGCTCACCTAGCAGTATTCTCAAAAGCATTCCTTAAGGATTCTCTGCATTGATTGTAATGGCTGGTAAGTTCAACTGTGGACAGTAAACATCAAGTAAATCACTACTTGATAAAGTTTGTTGACTATAGGTCATAGTTTGTTTTTTTTAATCAGAGTCTTAACCCTAAAGGAGGATTTAAATCTCATTTAGTTCAACTCCTCAAACCCTTCTCTGGTTCAGATTCTCAGCAACACAATCAAGAAACCAGAAATAAGCCCCAAATAAATGTTTCTAGAGCCTCTTTGGAATCCCACATTGAGTCTTCTCTTACTTGCCATAATTCTAAAGAGTAGTTAAACTCTTCCAGGCCTGATAGGTTACTACCTGAGGGCGATACATACTAACAGCAGTAGCACATGATATCTAATAAGGAAATCAGGACTCTGATTATATTATAACAAGCAGATGGGCATTACTCTCTACAGGGAGAGATAGCCCATAACTTGAGTGAAGCCTGAGGATACCACTATATAAATAAATTTATAAGCCTGTTTCTGAAAATATGCTACAACGTTTTAGTGTTATACTATACTCTTTTGAGAAAGCAGGAATAAAACTCTGACAAAAAATTTTTTTTAATACTTTTGTGTTTACACATATGGAATATGTCATTACCATCATCTTCCTATTTTATGTTCAGTCAAGTATTACTGGAGTCATTATTTCAGGATTTTGTAGCCAAATTAAACTCTTGGAGAAAACTTAACAGGATGTCCGGTTTTAAAAAGCATTGCATTAATTATGACGTCTTTTGAAAGGGGCCCTTGCTTACAGTACTTAATCAGAAAGAATCTCCTGATACCCCTCTGGTTTGTTTCCAGGTACCGTGATTTCCGGAACCCACCTGGACACGAACAACAGTATAAACACAACATCTACTACTGGCACGTGATCGCAGCCAAGCTGGCTTTCATCATTGTCATGGAGGTAGGAGTATACTGTGAAAGAATTCATAAGGCAGTAGATTTGCAGACCTTTTATTAACAATAAGTGTTGCCAGCTCTGACTTAAAATACATTCTTTTCTCTTGCTAGTAATTATTTTAGGACATCTGTTAATCACATTTAACATTGGAATACCCATAATGCTCTCATTAATGAAATGGGTTATCTGCTTGAAAAGGTGAAAGCGTGTTGTGTGCTGGGGACGATTCAGTGCCTCTCACTGTGGTACTGAGTGCCTTTTTGAAAAATTTGGGGTGCCGGGCTGCATGCTAGACTGTGAAAGGGCTTACCGAAGGTCACTAAGTATTTCGACTTCTGCTTCTGATATCGTAGCTGACCAAATACTCTGAGGGGCCATTTCACTACACAACATTCAGAATCAGCTTAAAATAAAATTTCCTTTTCATTTTTGAGCTCACTGGAAGGGAGGAGAATCTGCAAAGAGGGGGCAGAAAGGTGATGGCTAAACTAGAGCAGTAAGCACCCCCTGAAGCGCAGGGGCACTCTGAGGATGGGTGCGCTCTTCAGCACCTCCCTCTAAA